CCCCCCCCCCCCTTGACACCATGGAGGCTTTAGTTCTCAACCCAGAACATGAGCATGATGCTGTCTCAATACTTTCGCTGGGGCTGTTGGCTATACGCACACCGAGTGGGGGAGTGCCCCCTCCCCCTCCCCCTCCCTCTTTCCTCTTCCCCCAATGGAAGTATGGCGGCTGACGCTGTGAAGCGCGTCGTGGCCGAGCACTTTTCCCAGTTGCAAATGCCCCGTACCTCGGCATACCCATCTCCGGAGTCAGGTCATGTACGACTTGTTTGGGGCACTCGTTATTGCTGAGGCGTGAACTGTTTTTTTACAAATCGCAGAGTGGCGCTATGTGTGTGTTCGCTACTCTAGCACGGAACTGTTTGGTTTTGCGACCAGATGCACACTTTCTCTGCATGGAAGTAGCACCACAGGTGCCTGGCCAATGGCCATCGATTCTAAATGTTAGGAAAAAATATTTGTCCGTTAATAGTACTTAATACCGTTATTGGATATCCCTTTTCACAAGTGTAAGCCCCTAACGTCGTTGTAGCCATCTGATTCTTCTGGATTCAAATTCAAACTCATAACCTTTCTATCCCACAGTTATTACATGTGTGTACTGCTTCAGTGCTCAGCCACATGGGCTGGGTATGTCCTTTTTTAAGTTCTTTTTTTGTTTTTGAGGACTCAAATGGGCTGGGTATGTCTGTTATCCTTTAAGGAGACCTTAGCTGTAAAATTTTTACTCGATAACAATCTGCCATCTGGCATTGTTGATAAACACTTGTAAACAGGTTACGAACTCATCAGTTCAAATCCAGACGGAAGCAGATTCTTAATACCTGATAACACTCTGGCACTGTCGATAAACAGGTCATGAGTTCGAATCCAGATGGAATCCGATTCTTGCTTGATAACAAACATCTGTGTGAGAACAATGCAATGACATCAGCTGATCTGATTGACAATGTTGTCCGGTTATCTGTTAAAGCGCCACTTGTTTGGTTGATTTCCTTAAACCATCATGATGATCTCTCTTGACGGTGAGGATTCTCAGAGATCTGCCGGTTGGCAAGTGGCGAGTCAATTGAGTACGTTGATGACAACAATTCCTATCACCAGGGATAAGTGCGCAGAGAGCCCAGCCTGGGATGGCTGCTGGTTCGCAGTCGTCAGATGTGCGTCCAATTTCTTCCTCTTTCAGGGGTCTGTTACATCGCTTGAAGCCTTGAACCAGGAACAAGAGAGTTTAAGTGTTTGACCAAGATGCACATGTGTGGGGAAGCAATCGATCGTGTTGTCATTCTATTTTTGCGTGTTTGAGGTGTGTGTGTGTGTGTGTGTGTGTGTGTGTGTGTGTGCGTGTGCGTGTGTGTGTTTGTGTGTGTGCGTCCGCGTGGGCGTGTGTGTGTGTGTGTGTGTGTGTGTGTGTGTGTGTGTGTGTGTGTGTGTGTGTGTTTTGTCATGCTTGCTATATACACGACTCACGAAAAAAGCATGTTTGTGCCAGACTGTTTTGTCAGACATGTACTGAGTCATCAGAAGGTTGTGTACGTGTGTGCATGTCTTGGAAGGATATTGAGAGAAATTTTCAAACAAGCGAGTGTCTGCTAGAATAGTGTTTGTTTGTAGTATGTGTCCAAGTCAATGGAGTTTGACTGTATTCGTATACTGTGTAGGACGAGAAAGGTGCAAAGAGCCCATCAATCTAGCAGGTACATGAGTGAGTACTTGTGGAGTAGCAGATGATCTGTGGTCAGTTAGGACATATTTACTCTGCTATTTAGTTCCGTGAAGGCCTGTGTTACAGACTCAAAAGTTTTTTTTTTTTGTCAAAAAAAGAAATTTAAAAAGTACTATATTTTGTCAGGCTGCGACTGTTGTATGATTGGTCGGTGAATGTGTAGTTGGGTGTTGTGTTCTCCCGGATACAACACAGGGTCGGTCATCTTTGAAGGAAAGACCAACCAGGAGAGGTGAGAAGCCAGATGTCGTCCAGATGGCAGAGAGCAGTGAGCGGAGGTGGAGATGGTGGGGGTATTGGGAGAAGTAGTGGTCACTGTAGTAGACTCGCGTCTGCTGGTGGTAACTGGGTAAGATGGAAGGTGATAACCCCTGTTTACCAGATACTGCTTATGGGAGCGTTGACGGCCATCGCCGTCTCGCAGCTGGAATTGAGGAACAATGGGAAACTTCGCAGCTCGATCGACAAGGTGCTGAAACCCTCCATGTTGGTTTTCCCCTCGTCAGGAAAGATTCGGGATCAGCCAGTAGCGAACAAAGGGGAAAGGGACAAAGATGACTCCTTTCAGGGAGAGGATGTCAAGTGGGAGAACGAGGAGGTGGAAGAGGACGAGGTAGAATCGCAGATGAATGGGCAAGTACTACCCATCCCAGAAGAGAAGGTGGTGAAACCGCGTGTATTGCCTGTCCATGGAGGGATTCTGGATCGACTGGCAGCCAACAGGAAGCAGAGGCAGAAAGATTACTCATTGCAGGGAGAGATAGTCAGATGGGACAAAGTGGATGAGGAGGAGGAGGAGAAGGAGGAGGAGAAGGAGGAGGAGGAGGAGGAGGGAGGGAAGGAAGAAGAGGGAAAGGAGGAAGGAAAGAAGCAAGAGGGAGGAAGCGAGCAAGGGGGGTCAGTTGACTCGCGGCAGCGAGAGGGAGGCAGAGTGGAGGGGCAAGGACGTGCGCAAGAACAGAATGCATACTTGCGGCAGCAGCAGAATGTCAAAAGGCAGGGAAAGGAGGAGGAGGAGGTGAAGGAGGGACGTGATGGTTATCACCAATCATTGAACCAATTGGCAGCGAGTTCTATAGAAGAAGATGGTAGCAATTCGCCTCTGTTGCTCTCCCTGTATAGGCAGGTTGCTGCGAAACAAGCATCAGGCGGAGGAGAGGAGGGTAGGGAAGCAGCAGACGGTGCAGAAGTAAGCCCTAGGACGGGATCTCAACTGAGAATAATCCGCGGCCAGGAGGGAAGAGGAGGCATTGAGAGAACCACAGAAGGCATAAGAGGAGCAGCAGAAGGAATGCAAAGGGGAAGAGAGGGAGCGCGAGGAATCAAAGATGGGAGAAAGGAAGGAATCACAAGCAGTAGAGGGAGAGTAGTAGGAGGACGAGGTGGAAGGGGAGGGGCAGGACAGCGGGGGCCTGGACAGGGAGCTGAAGGTGGAAATGGGGGGAGAAGAGGAGGCATAGAAAGAAGCATAGAAGGCACAAGGGAAGCAGAAGAAGGAGGAAGACGAGGGACAACAGAGGAAACGAGAGGTCCTGGAGTAGAAGGGAGCAAGGATGCAACCACAAGAAAAGGCAGACGAGGGGCAGGAGAAGGAGGAGGAGGAGGAAATGAGAGGACTTCGTCAGAGGAGATGCAGATGGTCGTTGTCACTGGGAGCAGTGTGGAGTATTGGCTGGGGCTGCAGAATTTGGTTGGGTCTATTAGAACTTTTGAGCCTAATCGCAAGGTAGTTATCTATAACTTGGGTCTTCAGGATCGCATGGCTCAACGAATTAGGACATGGTGCCGTGTGGAACTTCGGTGGACAGGGGAGGACGGTGATACCTCTCCTCTGGTAGGGTTCTCGTCCTCCGAACTGCCTGAGCATCTGATCGAATTGCGTCATTACGCGTGGAAGCCGCTCGTCATTAAGGATGCGATTGAAAGATACGGCATCATTCTTTGGTTGGATGCGGGATCAACGGTTTACGGGCGGTTAAAGAAGATCGAGCAGCTATTGATTCAAGATGGGCATTTCCTAGTCTGGGGGCAGGACACCAACATGGCCCCCTGGGTCGACTTAGGAATGTTCCGGTATTTCAATGTTTCTAGTGGGGATTTTGAAGGCCGCCCCAGTTTTGCCGGCAATACTCAGGGCTATGTCCAAGGCGGAAGGGCTCATCAAGAAATCATCCCCCTTCTTGTGGATTGCGCCCTTCACATCGCTTGTATTGCCCCGTCAGGCTCTTCACTGGAAAACCACCGGTACGACCAAGCGGCGCTGTCAGTGATCGTGTATAGTCATCGTCTGCCCGTCACACCCCACACCGAGTTTCTCACATTGGAGAGGAAGCTGTTGCAATCGGAGGATGAGGTTTACATCCACACCTCCAGGAATAACATGGCGGACTATGCGGAGTTTGCCGATAAATGTGATTGATGGAATAAGTAGATCGATTGCCACGATCAATTGCCACACGTCAGATCCCTGCGGCCATTCGTGCTCACGCAAGTGGCTCTCTCGGTGTCTCCTGCCTTGGGTTGCTCACTGAGGACGAGGTTTGCATACTGCTGCAGTCTGCCGGGAACTTCAACCGCCAGTACCGCCAGCCATTGTGATCCGGTAGACCGAGCCATTGCCCCAGCCTTGCAGAAATAGCAACTCGTCGCCACAGCGTGGGAGCAATGGGTCGGCCTATTGGACCACAATGGCTGGCGGCACCGGGCAAAAGAGGAAAAACTTAAAAAAGTGCACTCAGTCTGCTGGTGGTTCCGAAAAGCTTGGTGCGCAGTGGAGCGGCTCCAGGCCCGGGCATACTGGTGGTCCAATGTAGCTAGCTGATTACTTGGAGTCTGCGTAGAAATGCCGGCGAACTGATGATAGATCGATTGCCAGTTTGCCGGGTGTCAGATCACCGCCGTTTGTTGCATGAAAGTGGCCCTCTTGGAGTTTCTTTTTTTGCCCAGTCGAGTGTGCATGAAAACTCATGATGATGCCATCACGGAGAACAGCAGCCGATTGGGCAAATCAGTTACGTGGCAACGGCAGCTCGCTCTCCTGTCTTCGGTTGCGGCGTCGGGAAAGATTAGATACAATTAGATAGCCAGGGTCGCCTTGCCCGACTGAGGGCATACTCACACTACAACTTTCCTGCATGTACGTGACCACTTTTACGAGCACGCCTCGATGCACCTGATCACCATTACGTCCACAGACGAGCTGAAAAACTCCCAGTGTGAGTATCCCCTGAGTCTGCGATCGCTAAGAAGCTCACAGTATTTGTACGGATCAGTCATGTGACAGTTTGAGCCCTGCTGCCTTGAGTTCCCTTGCCGGGGAATGTCGAGACATCACAAAGCCGGTAAGCGTACCAAGGACAGCAATGCGGATTTGCACCAGAGAGGAGATGAGGAGGGGGCGGGGCGGAACCGGAAGGAACTGGAAACGGTGGTGGCAGGTGTTTGGGCGAATGGGAGAAAAGGGTAGGCTTTGCTTTACAAACCAAACAGGGACCTAAACCCTAAACCCTAAACGGGAGAAGGGGGACTGGGGAGCCTGGGGGGTTTGGTAAGGAGAGATGAGAAAGCTTGGACTCAGTTTGCTGTTCTCGCTCTCAAAAACCTGGAAAATTAATTTTGTACTGTGACTGGGCGCCCCATCGTTCTGCACAGCCTGGTAGCTGGTCTTTTTCTCCCCCTTGACAAATGGGGAAGGAACTTCGATTTTGTATAGCTTCAGGAAAGGGAGATGGCCTTGAGATGTATCCATGTGCGACCGGCCTGGCCGAAGTGGCAACTAGAAGATCACGTAATGGTTCAAACAGCGCCAAACTCGGAATTGTTCGGACGTAACCAAACTCGTCTTCGTACATCGCAGATTTGCTCACACACACACACACACACACACAGAGAGAGAGAGAGAGAGAGAGAGAGAGAGACAGGGGGAGAGAGAGAGAGAACAGACATAGCCAAACTTGGAATTGTTTGGCCGTAACCAAACTCTGCGTCCTACATCGCAGCAGAGTTGCTCACACACACATACACACACACACACACACACACACACACACACACACACACACACACACACACACACACAGAGAGAGAGAGAGAGAGAGAGAGATTTCGACCGGTAGATACTGCAGGGGGGCTCGAGCTCGGTACTTCTCTGGTGCAACTGAGGAGGGAGGCAACCACCGGGGTGGCACCAGCAGACATCATTGTGAGCCAATAGAACGTAATACAGTCATTATCGCAGTATCTAGACTGAGAGTTGCCCCAAATACAGCTATAATAACCGTACGTTCTATTCGGGGGATGGGCCTTGAACCCAACACCTCTCCGATGCAGCTCAGGCATGCAATCTCACAAGAAACTCACACCAAATGGGCCACCACGATAAGCAGGTTCTGGAGGTTTTTGACGACCAAATAGCGAAGACCGGAGTGGGCCTTGAACCCAGTACCTGTCTGCTGCAACTCAGGCACAACTTCCCACGAAGAGACTGGCGGTTTTTGTTGGCCATGCCACCACACATGAGCCCCTTGTTTGCTGAGTTGGCATCCAGATGATGGGTTATCGTGAACGTAGTGGCTTGTGGACGTTTTGGACACTGCGTTGTTTCTGGAGTACGCGTTGCCAATGCTACATGGATTCTCTCATCTGCTCAGCTCCATGTTTGTACATTGATAAGAAGACATTAAATTTGCAGAATGTTGCATGCACTGGAGTTGTTGCTTTGCTCAATGACGGAGTCCTGATCACATGGAATACTAATTACAGAACGGGAATCGCGCAGAGGAGTCCCAATTACAGAGAGGGAGTCCCAACTACAGAGAGGGCGCTCCGATTACAGAGAGGGAGTCCCAGTCGCAGAGAGGGAGTTCACATCGCAGAGTAGGAGTTCGAATCACAGACAGGTAGTTCAGCCAGGCTCATGGCAGTGACGCTTTGTTGCATATGATCAGCAGGACATGTTCGGGTGGGTGGATGGCAGTGCGAAGAGGTCCACGTGGAGGGCAAGCAATATAGCTTGCTTGGCTGTCATCGGCTCTTTCCTGATTCTCCTCTGCTTTCTACTCAGACACCTTCATGCTTTCGTCGCTTCGTGAAGCAGTCGTCAGGTTGCTGGTAAGGAGCTTCATGCACATTGCGAGAATCTACACTGAGCACTTCAGTGAGAGGTTTGTGCTTGTGGCGACACCCGTCTTTTATAATCTTTGAGGCACACTGGGTGAACGTGACTGAGGGAAAGGACTGGTGCTGCTGGCAACAGATGCTGGGTGGGGCTGTGCAGATGGCCTCGTTAAGAGCAGACTGTCCCATGGGGACCTGTTATGTTGGTCATCATTTGGATGACCAAGACAGACCTGGAACGACTTGTCATGAGAGGCCTATTCAACTGTGAGATGACCGGAAGCAAGCAGTCCCATTTCTCCCCATTGCTTCCCAGGCAAGGCATTAGAAAAGCACATGGGAAAAAAGGACAGGCAAGAGGGAAAACCACCAGCGAGCGTGGCGCTTGCTGGCAACTCAGCATGGAAACCCCTGTGGGCACTGCAGTCTCAGCAGACAAGAATGGAGAGAGAGAGAGAGAGAGAGAGAGAGAGAGAGAGAGA